AAGATCTTGTCCTGGGGGGAGGGCCGCGGGTCCAGGGCCCCTTTCCCTCGGGATCCTTTTCTCCCACGTGAGCGACGCCAAAGAACGGGGGCGTCTTCACCGGCGCTGGCGCGTGAGCTGTCCGCGTGAGGTCGCGCGTAAGCGCTCTCGTCTGCAGCTGGGCGTGCCGCGCCGGCGGCCCGCGTAAGCGACCGCGTATGCTCGCTACGCCATCTCGCGTAAGACCCGCTGCCGGTCCTCGCTCACATGCTAAAGCATCCCAACTCCCAACTCTGAGCCAGCCCCCCCCTGTCGTTGCCCCTCCGACGCGGCGGGCGCCCCTCGCGGCGGGCGCCCCTCGCGGCGGGCGCCCCTCGCGCTGGGCGAGAGCTCGACCGCAAGGGGCGGCGGAGCCTCTGAAGAAACAGCGCTCCGGCCGCCGCCCTGAGCTGCCGCTGGCCGCTCCAGCGCCCGCCAGCCCCGCAGGGGGGGGAGGGGGGCGAGGAGGAGGAAGAAGAGGAGGAGGAGGAGGAGGAGGAGGAAGGGAGGAGGAGGAGGAGGAGGACGAGGATAGCGGGAGGAGGATTTTTTGTTGGATCGGTTCCTCGCTGAAGCATACGGCTTGTTGAGACTGGGCGGCGCTGTAGCTAGCAGAATTTTAGTCCGACTAAAACTTGTGCACGGGCACCAAGGACGCAAGGACAACAGTTCTCCCTGAGTCTAAGCAACCTCCCACCCTTGACTTGCACAGGCTGAAAACCTTGGTCAGTATTGTACTGCAGAGCACAGAGAGCGGCTGGGCGGTCCTGCAAGCGGCGAGGTGCATCCCCTGAGGCATCGGCCGACGGGGCGGCAGCACGAGCACGAGCGGCAGAGGAGGAGGAGGAGGCGGAGGATGAGGTGGAGGAGGAGGAGTACGGAGGAGCAGAAGAAGGAGGAGGAGGAGGAGGAAGAAGAGGAGGAGAGGAGGAGGAAGGGAGGAGGAGGAGGGGGAGGAGGAGGAGGAGGAGGAGGAGAGGAGGCGGAGGACGAGGAGGTGGAGGAGGAGGAGTAAGGAGGAGCAGAAGGAGTAAGGAGGAGGAGGAGGAGGAGGAGCGGGCGGAAGAGGAAAGGATGGAGATGAGGAGGAGGAGGAGGAGGAGGAGGAGGAGGAGGAGGCGTGGGGTTGCACTGTTGGCGTGTTCTGGTTTGCGGTGAGTTCGTCCTGCCACCGAGCTTGCGTATCTAGCGCTGAGCTCCGCGCTTGGTTGAGCCTTCAGCTCGGGTGATGCCGCGCGTCTCGCGAGGCTCCGCTCGCGGCGGGGTCCTGTCGACACCATGCATTGCGCATCTGAAAAGTTCTGCCAGAAGGAGAAACTGTTGAAAGGTTTATTTGGGGGCCTCTCTGGGCCGACTTGGGGCCCTCTTGGGGCGCTCAGGGCCGTCTTGCAGACCGTCTTAGGCGTCTTGGAGATCTTCTGGGCCGCCTTGGGGCCCTCTTGGGGCCATGTCTTGGGAACGTCTAGAGCCGTCAGGAGGACATCTCGGAGGCCTTCTGGCCCTCTGTAGGCCATATTAATGGCCTCGGGGGCCGTCTTGGACCGTCAGGAAGCTGAAAATGTGCAAACGCGGAAATCCGTCTACAACCGGAGGGCAATCAATGGTTTGGGTGCCTTTTGGCAATCCTGGAGGTCATCTTGGAGGCCACTTGGCCGTCTTGGAGGCCTCGTGGGGCGATCTTGAGGCCATCTCGGGCCATCTTGGGGACATCTCGGCCCGACTTGGAAACATTTTGGGGCCGTCTTGGAAGCCACATTGGGCCATCTTGGCCGTCTTGGAAATGTATCAGCGGCCGTCTTTGACCATCTCGGCCGTTTTGGACGCGATTGGGCCAACGGAGACCGAATGTTGCTGGGCTGTCCGGGTGGCCGGCGAGTTGGGTCGATAGCCAGTTGGGAGTTCCACGATCACCAAAACCGTTTAAAGTCATTGCGGGCAAAATTTGGGCAAGGAAGAGGGAGATGCCAATATCCGACAAGCACAGAAGAGAATGAGGAAGAAAAGGAAGAGGTGGAGGAGGAGGAGGAGGAGGAGGAGGAAGAGGAAGAAGAGGGCAGGGAGCAGGAGGACGAGAAGGAGAGGAGGAGCAGGATGAGGACAAGGAGACCTCTTGACACATTCTTGGGTAACCCTTGCGGCCTCGTATGCGTCTCCACCCTCTTGGAGGATTCCTTGTCGCTTCCTTGGGCTTCTTGGGGGCCTCTTGGGTAGTTTTGTAGCGTTCCTGGCCCGTCTGACCCCCTGGGAAGCGGTTCTGATAACCTCTAGCGCTGGGCCCCAGCTTGGCCGAGCTATGGACTCTGTATTTCCGCAACTGCCCTGGAAACTCTCAGGAAAACACTAGAGGGATGTTGCAGACAGGAGAATCGGGAGAGGGAGGGGGAGGAGGAGGAGGAAGAGGAGGAGGAGGAGGAGGAGGAGGAGGAGGAAGAAGAGAAGGAACACAACAGACCGGGGGGACGAGAAGGACGAGGAAGGTACGGAATGGGCCCCAGCTTCAACGGCCAGAGATGTTCCCAGCCTCCCGCCTCGCGGAGCGGAGCGAGACGCTATCAGCTTGCAGGTCATGACGTGCCGCCGGGTCCGTCGCCGCGACATGCTATAAGCAAAAGCTCTTGACCGCAGAGCGATACTACACCCATATACTGATGGTTAGCTACAGCGAAACTGCCAGATCGCAGTCTCAGCTATATGATAATGTGTATATATCTATGTATGTGTATATATATATATGCAAATATGAAAGAGCGCGTTCTGTGGTCGCTTGGAGGGGGGGAGGGGGGGGGTGAAACCGGACACACCCCCCCATTGATGGAGGGGGGGGGGTCGACCCCCCCCCCCTCTCCTCCCGTGAGGGGGGGGGATCCCTCCTCTGCGTCCCCTCTCCTCGGGCAGGCGCTTGTGTCGGCGGCGGTTGGCGACGGCGGCGGGAACGACGATTTCCATCTCTGGGCCGGAGCTGGCGCCTGCGGCGGCGGGCGGCGGTGGCGTGGAGCGTCGACGAGGACGACGGTGGTTTGTGGTGGTGGTGGTGGTGGTGGTGGTGGTGGTGGTGGTGGTGGTGGTGGTGGTGGTGGTGGTGGTGGTGTGGTGGTGGTGGTGGTGGTGGTGGTGGTGGTGGTCATGGTGGTGGTGGTGGACCTGGTGGTGGTGGTGGGTGTCGTGGTGGTGGTGGTGGTAGTGGTGGTGGGTTTGTGGTGGTGGTGGTGGTGATGGTGAGTGGTGGTGGTGGTGGTGGTGGTGGTGGTGGTGGTGGCTGTGGTGGTGGTGGTGGTTGTGTGGTGGTTGGTGGTGGTGGTGGTGGGTTGAGGCGGTGGTGGTGGTGGTAGTGGTGGTGGTGGTAGTGGTGGTAAGTCGTCGCTGCGTCCCCGCCGTCGCCGGCGCCAGCGCCAGCGCTGCTGGCCGCCGCCAGCGCCGGCGCCGGCGCCACGGGGGGGGGTTGAACCCCCCCCCTGGGCTGCCTCTGGTCATCGTCGCTGCGTCCCGCCGTGGGCGCTGCTGGCGGCCGCCAGCGCTGGCGCCAGGCGCCGAGGGGGGGCGCAGCGCCAGCGCCGGCGCCAGCGCCGAGGGGCCAGCCCCCCCCCCCCCCCCCCTTGGCCCCTTGGGATGGGGGGGGGGGTTCGGGGGGGGGGGGTAGGGAGAAGGGGAGTCCCCCTGGTTTTGATCGACGGCGCCGAGTGTTGGGGAGGGGGGGGGGCCATCCCCCGGTTCGAAACGCGCCGCCACATGTTCCCAAAGCAAGCGCCCGTGAAACGCGTTCTCTCTCTCTCTCTCTCTCTCTCTCTCACGTATATATATATATATACACGGAAAGCTGGACCCCAGGGTAGGCGGGATATGTCGCGGTTGCCCCGCAGAACAGTGTTTGAGCGATGCAGAATAGAGGGTGCGATTGCGCGGACATTGACTGGGTTGACACGCATTGAGTGAGTATGGCGGAGACCTCCCAGGAGTTGTCTCCTCATGTCCGGGACGCCCCCAGATCCATATCTGATGGCCCCATGGACCCGAGAACGGGCCCCAGAGTTCCAAATCGAGGGAGCAAAAGGTCTACTGCGCGGACATTCGCGCATACAGTCGGGGCCCTGAAGAGGGAACCCTTTTCGTTGGGGAGGGGCTCCGTGTTTCTTAATTGGTTCGCAGTTTGCCCTAGGTTTTCCTTAGGTTTTCGATACGAGTCGAAGTTCAACTTATTGAAAAACAGGGGCCGCGTTCCTTATTTAGGGCTCCCTAGGTCAACGCCACGACTGTAAGCCCTCCGCGTAAGGTCGCGCGGGCGCCCTCGTTTCCAGTGTGACGTGCCGCGCTGGCGGCCCGCGTCACCCTTCGCGTGCGGTCGTGGTGCGATGTCGAGTAAGATCCATGTCTTTTCGTCGGTCCCTTGGGAATTTCCGATGTCCAAGGGTGGTCAGGAGCATTAGCAGAGGAAGAAGATCGATGCGAGCTTGCCCTGCTAGGACCCTCGACGTGGTTGTAGCCGACACAACAAGACTTGGGGGGGGCTGGGACACCCAGCTTGCAGCATGCGAGTGAGAACCGCAAGGGTCTTCACGAGCATGCAGAATTAGACCAGCGTGCAGGGCAGGACACGAGATCTATACAAGAGACAGAGTGTGAGAGAGAGAGAGACTGTTCGGAGCAAGCTTGGCTGAAGCATGTGCTCCAAACCCTTTATGGTCTGAAACCGCCCTCGATGCCTGACATCCGGTGAAGGTCTCGACCCGGCGCGCCTCACTCCGAGGCGGCCGCAGACTCGCGCAGGGGGGCAAAACGGCGCCGCGGTCGCTCCGCGAGGCATCCAAGTCACTGCGGGGCGGGGGGGAGGAGAGGAAAAGAGGGAGGGGAGGGAAGGAGGGAAGCTGCGTCGCGTGCCTGCGGGCGCGACGCGGGGCGGGAGGGAGGGGGGGAAGAGGAGGGAGGGGCGGGGCGGGAGGGGAAAAGGAGGGAGGGCGGAAGAGGGAGGCCCTGGGGGGGGGAGGGGTGCAAAAACATCGCTGCGGTCGCTCCACGATGTGCGAAGATCAGCTAAGGTCAACACGTTGCCACTGCAATGGGGCGTGTGGCAGAGGCCAGCAAGAGCCAGCAGTGGCAATTGGCGCTGTCGATCCTCAGCGCACTGCTCGAGTCAAGAGTGGAGGCCAGCGTCATCTCTTTCACCATGCTGGGATCAGCGCGTGCGAGAAGGGAGAGCAGTGGCAGCGGGCTCTGGCACTGGTCGGCGAGATGTGGAAGGCGAAGCTAGAGCCCGACGTCATCTGTACTACAATTCTGGTCGTGGCTGTGCGGCAAGCGCGCTCGCAAAACCGTTCCAGAGCACTGCCAAGCGCCCAGAGCACCCCCGGGACGCTTCCCGACGGGCTCAGGGGGCCGCTGGATGACCTTTAGACGGTTTCCGATAGCCCCGTGACAGCTCTGCGACGCTCCGGGGAGCGCCAGGACGGCCCAAGAGGGCCCGAGGATTCACCAGGAGGATCCACAGACCGCCCACGAGCATCTCGATGACGGTTCAGGAGGGAAGAAAGCAAAAACCATGCATGCTCTAAGGTGTTTCACCTTCTTCCCATGTGGGGCCTGGAGCGGCCCCACACGGCCCCAGGTCCTTCCAGAAGCGCACCAAGATTGCTTTGCCCAAGAGGCCCTCACAAGCCCACCAAAAGCCCCAAGACAACCTTGAACAGGCCTCGGAGAGCCTACACACATTAAGTTGGCCCCCCAACACGCCCCAGGTGCTGCCCAAAAGAGCCCAAACCAGGCTCCCAGACAGCCCCAGACGTCCACCATGGCCGTCAGATGGAGCAAAGATTATATCTTTTTTCTGTTTTCCACATTTCCCATGACGGCCCCTGGCGGCTCCAGGCACTTTTACGATCGCACCAAAACGGCCCAAGGTGGCCCCGAGATGGCCCAAGACAGGCTCCAGACGGCTATGGAGCTTCGGGGGGCCCGCCCCATGATGCCCCAGGAGCTGCCTAAGAGGGCTCACAACAGGCTCCCATCGGCCCCAGACCCCCATCATGGCCCCAAGATGGCCCAATAGACCCCAGAGACGGACCAAGAGAGCCCCAACCTGGCTCGAGAGGGTCCCAACATAGCCCAGGAGGGCTCCAAGAGCTATTCAAGAAGGACTTACTCCGAGGTGCTCTATGTAGAGGCTCCCAACAGACTCTGGCAGTGGCCAAGGAGTTACCAAGAGATCTTCCAGCCCCAGCACCTTTCGCCGTTGCTGGATCCTCGGACGGCCCAAGTGGGCCCAAAGAGCTGTCCGAGAAGGACGTACTCCCAGATGGTCTACGACATGCTAACACTCCGACAGTTGTCAAGGGGCTCCCAAGAGAGCCACCAACCCCGGCACATATCGCCGTTTCTGAATGCTCGGCCGCCCCGAAGAAAGTCCAAGACCCCACAAAGGCCCCAGACCACTCCCAGATGCCCCGCAGCCCCCCGAGAGATTCTGACAATTGCCGAGGATCCCCCACGAGAACCTCAAGCCCAGGCACCTTCTATCGTTTCTGGATCACCCAAAGCCCCCAAGAAAACCCTGAGCCCCAAAAACGCCCCGTAAAGCCCCCAAGTCCCTCTCCCTGTTGTCCCCTCTTCTCTTCTCCTCCTCCTCCTCCTCCTCCTCCTCCTCCTCCTCCTCCTCCTCCTCCTCCTCCTCCTCCTCCTCCTCGTCTTTGGTGCCTCCACGCTTCTCTCTCCGGTGCCGCTGTCCTCCATCTGCTCGCATTCTTGCCCATCGCCCTCTCCTCCGCTCCTCCCTGCGCACACCAGCAATCCTCGCTTCCCCCCCTGCCCTTCGCGCGATGGGGGCGACAGGGAAACCTCCACGACACCCCCCAAAGAGCGCCCCAGGCCCCGAACGAGGCCCCAGAAAGTTGCCTCCCCGCTCCCTCTTCGGAGTCTCCGCCCCTTCCTTCGGGTGCCGCTCTCTCCCTCCCCTTCTGTTCTGCTCCCGTCGGCGACATCTGCGCGCTCGGGGGGCCCACGCTTCGACCTGCCTGCCGCAGACTCCCCCGGCGTGCACGCTGCAGTCTCTGCCACGCTGCAGGGGCCCGCGCGGGCGGGCAAGGCGGGCCGCGGGGAGAGCGCAGTCCGCGCCCCGGCGGCCCCCGGCGAGCCCCGGAGGGCCCCCGGGCGGCTCCAAGACGCCCCGGAGGCCGCCCCGACGGCCCAAAGACGGCTCCGAGGCGCTCCAGAGGCCGCCTCGGCGACGCCTCGGAAGCCCCCAAGGCAGGCCAGGAGGCCCTCAGGACGGCCCTGGAGCACCTCACAGGAGAGCCCCGAGAGGCCGAAATCGTCCCATTCCTGTCGGGAAGTGCATATTTGAGGGTCTTCGTTTCCGACGCGCCCACGACGGCCATAGAGGCCCCCAAGATCGCCTTAAGATGCCCCCATGAGGGCCCCAAGACGGCCCAAGACGACCCCAGGACGGCAGGACGGCCCAAGAGGCGCCCAGGACGGCCCAAGAGGTGCCCAAGACCGGCCCAGACGGCCCCAATACAACCACCCGAGAGGCGACCAAGACGGCCCGAGAGGGCCCCCAGAGCCCCCAGAACGTTTCAAAGCGGCCCCACCACGGCTCTGCGGCCCAAGAGACTGCCCAAGGGCCCCAAGCGGCTCCAAAACGCTTCAAAACGGCCCCAGCATGGCTCCTGAGGCGCCTATGGCGGCCCAACAGGCACCCAAACCAGCCCCAAGAGCGAGAGGCCCCCAAGGTCGGCCGAAGATGCCCCCACGAGGGCCCCAATACAGCCCAAGACGACCCCAGGACGGCCCAAGAGGCGCTCGAGACGGCCACAGAGGCGCCCAAGACGGCCCCAGACGGCCCCAAGACGACCCGAGACGCACCCAAGACGGCCCAAGACAGCCCCAAGAGCCCAAAAGGATTGCAAGAGGCCCCAAAACAGCCCCATCACAGCTCCTGAGGCGCCCATGGCGGGCCAAGAGGCACTCAAATCAGCCACACACACACACACACACACACAGACGCACACACACACACACACACACACAAATACACACAGACACACATTGACACACAGGCATACAGACAAGCCCACAGACAGACGCACACAGACACACGCGCAGATACACACACACACACACACACACACACACACACACACACACGCGCGCACGCGCACGCGCACACACACACACACACACACACACACACACACACACACGCACACGCACACGCACACGCACACGCACACGCACACGCACGCAACTCTCTCTCTCTCTCTCTCACACAGACACAGACACAGACACAGACACAGACACAGACACAGACACAGACACACACACAGACACACACACACACACAGACACACACACACACACACACACACACAGACACACACACACACACACAGACACACACACACACACACACACACACGCACACGCACACGCACACGCACACGCACACGCACACGCACACGCACGCAACTCTCTCTCTCTCTCTCTCTCTCACAGACACAGACACAGACAGACACAGACACAGACACAGACACAGACACAGACACACACAGACACAGACACACACACAGACACACACACACAGACACACACACACACACACACACACACACACACACACACACACACACACACACACACACACACACACTTTTTTCGTCAGCGGCGAGGCGGCGAACTCCGCTCCAGCGAGAAGCTAAGGAGGGACACTAACTAGCGAATTGGCCGGCGAGCACAGAGGAGGGGGGGGCGGGGGACGGCCGAGAGGAAGAAGGGACGCTCAGATACCGAAGACTTCGACGATGAGCAGCCGGGGGGGGCACACACACACACACAAACACACACACACACACAGGCACACATTATTTCATCGCTTCGCTCACTCCGCTGGCCTGTATTGTGCCATCGCAGGCGTTTGCCTGCGCGATCGTGGCCTCTCGGGGCCTCGCGAAGCCTCCAGGGGGCCTCCTAGGCTCTCTTGGGGGCCTCTTGGGGCCTCCTGGGTGCCTCTTGGGGCGGAAGGCTCGAATTGGTTCGTGTTCCCCCTCTTGGGCCCCTCTTGGGGCCGTCTTGGGGCCTTTTTGGGCGCCTCTGTCTTGGACCGTCTGGGGGCTCTCTTGGGAGCCTCTCGGGCCGTCTTGGGGCGGTCTTCGGGGCCTCTGGGGCCATCTTGGAGCGTCGGAAAGACAAAAAGGCGAGAATTCCGAAATCCTTCAAAAACGTATGGGAGGTCACTCGTTTGTGCCTCTGGGGGCCCTCTTGGGAGGTCTCTTGGAGGATGCCTGGGGCGTCTTGCAGGCTTCTTGGGCCGTGAGGCCGTCTGCAGGCCATCTTGGAGTCTTGGACTGGTTGTTCGGTGACTCGGAGCCCTCTTGGACCGTCTTGGGGGCCTCTTGGGGCTCTCTTGGCGCACCCTGGGGGGCGTGAGAGGCCGCACCCAGGAGGAAAACCATCTCCGAGTAAAGGCTCGCCGGAGGTCAGCTGGGCTACTTTGGATCTGGGTATCCCCACGGGCGGCCCCGCGCGCGCAAATTCGAAAACTTCTAAACTAGTTACCAGAGATCTTAGCACTCCTATGGCACGCTGGGCCGACGAATTGACAAACACGCTCACAACGCACGCACACACACACACACACACACGCACGCACACACACACACACACACACACGCAGACTCACACACAGACACGCAGACACACGAACATAACACACAGAGACACATCATTCGCTCAAGCCATTTTGACTTAAGCCCAGGTGCCATGTCGTTCTGGATAGTCTCAAGATGTCTTTATGCCCCTCAAAGCGTCGATCAAGAACTGCGGCCTGACAAAACAATGGAGCGCCGCACTGTGGATGCTCCGCGAAGAACTTCAATTGGGTGTGCAACGCGTCCCAAGCCACTACGTTGCGGCTGTCACGGCATGCAGACAAGGCGGGCAATGGCAACACGCGTTGTCAGTGCTCAGTGAGATGTGGGAGGCGAAGCTGGAGCCCCACGTCATCTCTCCTACATGGCCGGTGGAAGCGCGTGCGAGAAGCCCAGGTCCTCAAGTGCACAGAATCGCCCCGTTATGGCGCCACCACGAGGCCGAATCGCTCAGGCGGGTCCCAGAGGCGCTCCAGAGGGGTTCCCAGACCGTCCAAGAGCGCTCCAAGACGGCCTCAGTGGGTCCCGAGACGGCCCACGAGGGCCCGAAGCCTTCTGGGGGGGGCTCCACGACGATCCAAGAGGCCGCAAAGACGCCCCAAGAGGGCCCCGAGCGCACGCCAAAGAGGCACAAATCGTTAAATTCCGAAGGGAAAACGTATATTTTCAGCATGCCCGCCTTGTGCGCTCCTCAGCGGCCCAGAACACGCCAAGAGGCCTCCCAAATCGCCCCAAGAAGACGCCAGCGGCCCCTAAGAGGGCCCCAAGACGACCCACAAGAGCCCCAAGACGACGCCAGAGAGCCCTGAAACGGCTTCACAGAAACCCAAGACGGCCCCAAGAGAGCTGGGAAGGGGCCCCAAGAGGCTCCCAAGACGGCCTCAGGCAGCCTCAAAAGAGCTCCAAGACGGTCCAAGGCCTCCCGGACGCCCCGTGACGGCCCAAACTGGCCCCAAAACGTCCCCAAAACGCTCCCAGAGCAGCCCAAAAAAGCGTCAGGATGGCCCGAAAAAGACCCCCACAAGGACCACCAAGCAGGCCCAGAGACGCCCACTCAAAAAAGAGCGATCGGTGAAGTACGAAGCTCTTCTCGCCAAGGCTCCCAAGAGCGAGCCGCAGCGTGAGAGCCCTCCGGCCGGGACCCGCGCGCTCCCGGGCGGCCCCGAGGCGCTCCACGACGGCCTCGGAGGGCCTTCCCACGAAGGCCAGAGGGCCCCGCACGGCCCCAAGACGGCTCAGAGCCGCCCGCGAGAGCGCCCCGACGGCCCGAGCGGACCCCCAGCGAGCGCCAGGGCAACGCAAGAGTGCCCGACGACAGGCGAGAAGCCTCCCAAGACGGCCCAGGAGACTCCCCGCCAAGCCCGGAGCCTGCCAAAATCATAGACTTGCCATTGCTCTTTGAAGGATTCCCAGGCTCTTGCCACTTGGGCCCTAGACCGGCCCAACACGGCTCCAGGACCCTGCGAGGTCGTCCCAAGACGCCCAAGACGCTCCAAGAGTGCCCCGAGACGGTCCCACGACTGCCCCAAGACGCTCCAAGAGTGCCCCGAGACGGTCCCACGACTGCCCAGGACGGCCCCGTGACGGCCCAGGAGGCGCCCAAGACGGCCCATGAGGCACCCAAGACGCCCCCAGGAGCGGACCAAGAAGCCCGTACGCCGGCTTCCGAAGGCCCCAGACACACCCAAGACGCCCGAACAGAACTCCCTGGAGCCCCCTAAACGCCCAAAAGACGCTCCGAGAGGATCCCAAACGGCCCCCTCCAGGTTCTCATCAGCTTCAGACTTGCCTCCAGGAGAAGGGGAGGGCAGAAGTGCCGTCTTGGATGGCCCGAGAGCTGTCAGGGGCCTCAGACTCACGCTGGTGGCCACTGCGGCTTCTACCCCACCGCCATCCTGAAAGCTTGTCGGCAACATCTCCGCGCAGACCCCGCGAGACTGTCACGAGCTTTCGTGGACATAGTCCACGGGTTCGCCCTAGTCTCTCCTACATGGCCAGTGGAAGCGCGTGCGAGAATGGTTCACAGGGCCTCGTGTGCACAGAAACGCCCCCTTACGGCGCCACCATTGGGCCGAATCGCGCATCGCTCAGGCCGGTCCCAGAGGCGCTCCAGAGGGGTCCCAGACCGTCCAAGAGCGCTCCAAGACGGCCTCAGTGAGTCCCGAGACGGCCCACAAGGGCCCGAAGCCTTCTGGGGAGGGCTCCACGACGATCCAAGAGGCCGCAAAGACGCCCCAAGAGGGCCCCGAGCGCACGCCAAAGAGGCACAAATCGTCAAACTCCTATGGGAAACGTATAGTTTCAGCATGCCCGCCTTGTGCGCTCCTCAGCGGCCCAGAACACGCCAAGAGGCCTTCCAAATCGCCCCAAGAAGACGCCAGCGGCCCCTAAGAGGGCTCCAAGACGACCCACAAGAGCCCCAAGACGACGCCAGAGAGCCCTGAAACGGCTTCACAGAAACCCAAGACGGCCCCAAGAGAGCTGGGAAGGGGGCCCCAAGAGGCTCCCAAGACTGCCTCAGGCAGCCTCAAAAGAGCTCCAAGACGGTCCAAGGCCTCCTGGACGACGCTCCCAGAGCAGCCCAAAAAAGTATCAGAATGGCCCGAAAAATACCCCCACAAGGACCACCAAGCAGGCCCAGAGACGCCGATTAAAAGAGCGATCGGTGAAGTACAAAGCTCTTCTCACCAAGGCTCCCAAGAGCGAGACGTAGCGTAGCGAGCTCTCCCAGGCACAGCTCCCAAGAGCGAGCGGTGACATCGGGACACCCTTCCGACCTCTCACACAGGAGCACGCACGCACAGCACGCAAGCACAATAGATTTCCTGGGCTGTCCCCCGGAAGAGGCTCGGGGGACAGCCCGGGAACGGCTCCAGAGGCGCCCAAAAAAGCTTCAAGAGAAAAGGCCCCCAGGAGGCCGCAAGACGGCCCAAGAGGGCTCCAAGAGGCCCCTAGGAGGCCACAAGACAGCCGAGGCCCCAACAGGCCCCCAGGAGCTCGAAAAGAAACCCCGAGAGGCCCACTAACCGTTCCCAAGGAGACGGCAGCGCCCGCCATCAGGCTTCGAAGAGGCAACCGGAAAAAAGTCACCAGAGCCCTCTGGGTGACTTTTTTCAAGGCCCCAGGGCTTTCAAAATTGACAAGCGGCGAGACGTACACCGCAAACCCACCATAGCCGTTTGTGACGCTCCGAAGGCCGGCTGTCTAGGCGGAGGTAAAGCGGAAGGCGGACGAAGAGAAGGAAGCGGTCCAAGAGGACATCCGAGACGGCCCAAGACCGCTCGAAGACGCTCCAGACGAGCCGCGGCAGACGAAATCATTGATTCTTCGATGGTTTCTGAAAGATTTCCACCTTCTCGCCATTTCGAGCGAAGACAGGCCTTTTCGAGCCAAGACTGGCCCAAGATGATGTGGACGAAGTCCACGGGTTGGTTCGCCCTGGTCAGCTACAGCGCTGGGATCAGCGCGTGCGAGAAGGGCGGGCAGTGGCAGCGGGCGTTGGCACTGCTAAGCGAGATGTGTGAGATGAAGCTAGAGCCCGACGTTATCAGCTACAACGCTGGGATCAGCGCGTGCGAGAAGGGCCAGCAGTGGCAGCCGGCGCTGGCGCTGCTGAGCAGGATGTGGGAGGTGAAGCTGGAGCCCAACGTCATCTATACTACAATACCGGGCATTGCGCGTGCGAGAAGGGCCATTGGAGGCACCCTCGCCAAGCCCTGGGGGGCGGCACCTCGGCGGCTCCGCTCGTGGGGACGGTCCACGAGGGCCCCCAGAGAGCCCACGGTGGCTTCCAGGGAGCCCCAAGAGAGCCCAAGACGGCCCAAGAGGCCTCCACGACGGCCCAAGAGACGCCCAAGTGGCGTCCCAGGAGGGCCCCAACAGGCCAAAATCATAGATTTTCCGAAGGGAAACGTACATTTTGAGCATATACGGCTTCTCGGCTTTCATGGCGCTGAAGACTGTCCAAGAGGCCCCCAAGACCGCCCCAAGACGGCCCAAGAGGCTCCCAAGAGGCCCCCAAAACGGCCCAAGAGGGCCCCAAGACGGCCCCAAGAGGGGGACCTCGAACCCAAGATCCCAGCCTTCCGCCCCAAGAGGCCCCCGAGAGACCCAAGAGAGGCCACAAGGTGCCCCCAAACGGCCCCCAAAAGGCTTCGAAACTGCCTCCGAGAGGCCCGCGAGAAGCCTCCCCAGAGGGCCAACTCTGGAGCAACCCCTCCCCCCATCTGGCCCAGCACGGCACCCAAGGTTCCCCGAAATCGGCCCGCCGTGGCCCGGGTGGACTCCCAGGAAGCCTTGAAATTTCCAATTTCACTGAAGCCCCCTCGGATTGGAATTATCCCGGCAAAGCAACCTAACAGCCATGTGTAGGAGCATATCTGGAAGCATTCCCCTTAAGATTCGGATGAGAATCCAGTTGTAGAATTCTGCTGTTCTCGCAGTCGTTGTCGCATTCGCGAGGACAGTCGCAGTGGCAACGGCAGTCGCAGTCACAGCCTCAGCCTCAGCCTGCCTCAGCCTCAGCCTCCGCCTGCCTCAGCCTCAGCCTGCCTCAGCCTCAGCCTCAGCCTGCTTCAGCCTCAGCATCAGTCTGCCTTCGGCCTCGGCCTCAGCCTCAGCCTGCCTCAGCCTCAGCCTGCATCAGCCTCAGCCTCAGCCTCAGCCTGCCTCAGCATCAGCCTGCCTCAGCCTCAGCCTCAGCCTCAGCCTGCCTCTGCCTCAGCCTCAGCCTGCTTCAGCCTCAGCCTCAGTCTGCCGTCGGCCTCGGCCTCAGCCTCAGCCTGCCTCAGCCTCAGCCTGCATCAGCCTCAGCCTCAGCACGAAGCGACCCAGCTAGAAGGACAAAGCGCTGAATGTACACCGATGTGTTCGACGACTGCGTATGTAATGATGTGACGATATACAGACTGAGCCCTTCGTGAATGTCTACATGTTTTTCTGACGCCTACAAACGGCGCTGACGTGTGTGAGAAAATTGTCCGCGCAGCAAAAGCCGGCGAAGCGTGCGGGAGCTCGCATGCTGAGACAGACTACGTCTGCAGACCGCCAGCTGCAAAAAGTTGCGAGCGGCTCTTGGAAGATGTTTACGGAACGGAGCTACGGTGTCTGAAAACATTGGCATCGAAGGGAAGAGCCTCGGAGCCCTGCAACCTGAGAAACACCGCAGGAACTCGCATACTGAAAAGGAATGCATTGCAAACCGCACGCTGCGAACCCTGCAGGCTGAGAAGCACCGCAGGATGTCGCATGCTGAAAAGCACTTGTACTGCAGAGCGCTAGCATCTATCTCGGGCTCGGACCCCCCCGTCCTGATCCAGAACGTGTCCGGCCACGGCCTGAAAATGCCGTTCCAACTCCCGAGGATCAGCTGGCACTCCGGCTCTGGGACACTCCAGTACGTCTTGAGCACCTTGAGCCAGGCCCCATCTCGGGATCCCCACAGCACGCTGTACTTGACCGAGACCGTGCCGAACTCATAACAATTGACCTCCGAAGGACCTGCGAGTGCAGGCTGAGAAACACCACGCGATTGCAGGGCACGGCATTGCGTGTCACATGAGTGCAGGCTGAGAAGCACCACATCTCGTTTGCCAGAGATCACTCCCAGGTTATTTGATCCCGCAACACCAGCCACGGCGTAGCTGCCACAGGGGCCGCAGATAGCAACGGTTCGGTCACCCAATTGGCGTTCCGGTGAGTCACAATTCGCGCGTGGCTCCACGAGCCTGTGTAGCGCGATTTGCGGGGCACCAGTGTGCTGTAGGTGTTGTTGCCGTAGCAGAAGACGGCCTCTGGAGCCCAGTGCGGATTCCAGCGGACAGCGTAGACCCTGTGGACGCCATTGCGGATGACGTCGCGCGCACCTTCGATATGTGCCACCCATCGAAGCCAGTCAAATGCTGAGCCATCGGTGATGTCAACAGCACCTGGGGCAGTCTCGCCATGGTGGTAGTGCAACAGCGATTGGAGAGCGGCGCTGGCTTCGTCGCGGCCCACAATCTGGCGCGAGCAGGCTGCCTCTTGCAGGTGCTCCTGTGTGAAGAGCAGTGGGGCATCACCGCCAGTCTCGGCAGGCTGAGCAGCGCCACCGTCAGGCACGGCAGTCTGAGCAGCGCCGCCACGAGGAACATGAGGCTGAGCAGCGCCAGGCTCAGGCACGGCAGGCTGAGCAACGGCGCGTGGTGGACCGACATAGGTGGGCTCATCGGGTCGGCCGTTCTTATGGTAATGCAGGCGCATGGCTGAACCGTCTGCACGACGGAACTCGAAGAAGTGCCTGCCGTGGCCATCCGTGTTGGAGTAGTTAGGGTCGCGCTCTGTCTCGATGATGCGAAAGAGAACCTGGGCGATGCCCTGCCCGATTATGCGCTCAGCGAAACCCGGAGCGGCAGACCGAAGCAGTTGCTTCCAGTCGTAGGACGGGTCGTTTGTTACGTCTTTGAACGACAAGTTGTTGACAATGCACTCGGCGCGCAGCGCGCGCTGCCACTGGCAGGCGGTCTTGCCGCCCATCCCTGGTGTACGGCGGATGTCTTCGAGGTGAGCCTGCTCAAAGACCACGTCGACACCTGGCTGAGGAGTCGGTGCGGGCGGATCCGGCAGAATCTCCCACGGGCCATCGCACGGGGCCGGGGGTGGCGGGGGCGATGCCTTGCCGCGTGCTGGCATTGTGACAAGGCAGGCTGAGGAGCACCGCCGCGGCTGGACGGCCAGGTGAAACTCGAGCAAACATGGTTAAGGATGATGATGATGGTGTTGATAGGAAACCCGGTATCAGCGAGTTGATGTACAATGAGGTGTCCGCAAACGAGACACTGCTGTCAACGCTGTTATAACTAACCACAAACGAGACACTGCTATCAACGCTTGCACAATTAAAAAGAAACGCTGGCATTGACACTACTAGCAATACCAAAGTGGAGTTTAAACGAGGCACTGCCATCAACCGATTCAACTTCCAATGAAAGAAGATCACAAATGAGTTCACTCTGAAGTGACCCATGGGTATCAATGCGAGAAGTCTCTGCAAACTATTCACTCATGGCGACCGCCGCGCACACGCGTGTAGGAAATCGTTGATGATGATAGTGATAATGGAGTGGGGGCCAGTAATGCAGATACACTGCTGTGCATTCACTTGCTGCGAAAAGAAACTCTGCATGAATGAGTTGATATATAATGAGTTGTCCACAAACGAGACACTGCTATCAACGCTTGTATAAGTAAAAAGAAACGCTGCTATCGACACTTCCCCCAATACTAAAGTTGTCTTTAAACGAGTCACTGCCATGAACGGCTTCAACTACAGTGTAACGAAAGGAACTGCAGGCTGAGAAGCACCGCAGGCCAACGTGAACCAGTCGTGGTGATGAGGATGAGTGAAATCTGCGATGATGATAGCGATCATGAAGTCGGTTGTAGGAACCCACTTTTGTAGTAACCAACATACACTGGTATGCATTCACTTATGGTGAAAGGAAACTCGGTATCAGTGAGTTGATATAGAATGAGTTGTCCGCAAACGAGACACTGCTATCAACGCTTTTAGAACGAAGCGAACCCATCAGAACACTGTTATCAACGGAAAGAATGCTGTAGAAGGACAAAGCGCTGAATGTACACCGATGTGTTCGACGACTGCGTATGTAATGATGTGACGATATACAGACTAAGCCCTTCGTGAATGTCTACATGTTTTTCTGACGCCTACAAACGGCGCTGACGTGTGTGAGAAAATTGTCCGCGCAGCAAAAGCCGGCGAAGCGTGCGGGAGCTCGCATGCTGAGACAGACTACGTCTGCAGACAGCCAGCTGCAAAAGGTTGCGAGCGGCTCTTGGAAGATGTTTACGGAACGGAGCTACGGTGTCTGAAAACATTGGCATCGAAGCGAAGAGCCTCGGAGCCCTGCAGCCTGAGAAACACCGCAGGAACTCGCATACTGAAAAGGAATGCATTGCAAACCGCACGTTGCGAACCCTGCAGGCTGAGAAGCACCGCAGGATGTCGCATGCTGAAAAGCACTTGTACTGCAGAGCGCAGGCTGCGAAACCTGCAGGCTGAGAAGCACCGCAGGAACTCGCATGCTTTCGAACACTACTGCTCGAGACCGCAGCTGGAGAGCGGCAGACCGCAGGCTGAGAAGCACCGCGGGCAGGGAGACTTGCAAAACTCAGATGTCCTGATCGTCTTGGAGGAAGTCACGCCAGTCCGGCGGCTGCCAAGAATCGATGATGCGCCTGGAGCCACCGCCCGTGCTGCCGCCGATGTCCAGGTAGTCGCCATCGCCCCTGAACAGACGGCCGTGCCCCAACGCCAGAATCGCTTGGTTGCGGATTTGAAGCAGCGCTCCGCTCTCAAACATCTGCAACACGTCCAGCTGCCTGCGCGTGAAGTTCGGCTTTGGCTGGCCAGCCTGGGCAGACAGATGGAGGGAAAGCCGCTCCCCCTCGTTGTAGCGCGCGATGGCCTCGGCCTTCTGGTGGTGCAGCCGGCGCCGCTGTTGCCGCAGAGCTTCCTCGGGAACTGCTGCATCACGGCCCTCACTGTGATCAGCTTGCAACGCTTGCGTTAGCCAATCAACGTCGAAGCGCCCTGAGAAGGCCAGCACCTCCCAGATCTGTTTGGTACCGGCCACACGTTGCAAATGGCGATGCCACCGCTTACGCTTCTGGTCTTTCACAAACTTGGCGACGCTACCCAGACCTGCACCCTTGGCCTGGCCACCTTTTCCCGCAGGCTGAGAAGCACCGTGAGAACCTTTCTTACCGCCTGGCCCTTTGTTAGGACCCTGCGGAACCGCATGGCCCCCTTGTGGCGCAGACTTGCCTTTCGCTTTTCCCTTTTCGATATCCCGTTCCTGAAGCGCACGCTGCTGCCGCGACTGCTCGTACTGGTCGCGAGCTACTCTGACCAATTCCTGGCGCTCAGGCTCCGTGAGAACGTAGCGCATGTCGTCGATGTTCTTGCTCCGCAGAAAGTCATGTCGAAGCTTCAGGACAGAGAGAATGGCTCGGCCAGTCTCCTCCTGAGACGCAAAGGCCGCGTCATATTCCGAGCCAGGCTGAGGAGCGCCAGCTGGATTAGTGTCCGCTGGCTCCGTGGACTTCCTCTTTTTGAAAAGCAAGAGACTGAGATGATGGAGGACTTTCGGATCGTACTCCTCGTCGTACCTGTCGTCCCAAAGCTGCCTCAGCTCCCTGTGCAAGTCGTCCGCGCGATTCTGAACGACATCCTCGACGTAGTCGGGATCACCCGGTGAAGTCGGTGAAAGCGGAGGAGTAGAACTCGGCGACCGATCCCAATGCACAGAAGACTCGCGGTCCGCCTGTACGCTGACGTCGGCGTCGGAGACGTTTTCGACGACAATCTTCCGCCTCTTGCTCTCCCCAGGCTGAATAGCACCAGGGAGAGTGAGCACAACCGCCACCGCATCGTGTGCGTCGTTGCGCATGCCACGATCCGTAAAAGACGCGCCAACGGCAATGGAGCAGAAACGGGCGACTGCTCCGCAGACCGCGACGTGGTCGCCTTTGAGGTCGGCCGGAGTGGCATGGACCTCCCATACCTTCTCGTCGTTCTGCTGGCGCTGGTAAGCCTCCCGCGCCTCCTGGAAAGTGAGGTTGTCGTCGCCGACTACAAGCAGAACGACTGCCTGGTTTAGATTCTCAAGAATCTTGGCCAGGCCGTCCAGGTGCAAGCGGAGATGGCGAACTGTCCGCTTTCGAGTCTGGATGGTCGGCGGTTTCTTGCCGCACACGATGTGCATGTTGGCGATCACCACGTGGAACTTGTCATGGCCTGGTTTGTTCACCTCAAAATGTGAAATAACAGCATCAATCTCTCGGCCGCTAGGAGGCCTGTAAACTTTGCTGTAATCCAGAAACAGTTCCGCAGGCTGAGAAGCACCGCGGAACCCCCAGAGAGTCAAGTAGTTGTCGACCTCCGAGAAGCGAATGCCATCACCGAAAGGCTTACTGAGGATCTCTGTCACGTTGATCCCTGCTCGGCGAAAGCCTTCACGGAACGCACCGACCTCGCAGCCACAGACAATATCAGCATCAGCGGTCTCCACTATCGTGGCGCACAACCTTCCGAAGTTAGCGCAGTGAGTGGCCGCCTGCTTACCAGTCATCATGCCCTGCTCGAACCCGAAATTGAACGAGGCGACCGTGAAAGACGCAGGCTGCACAGCGCCAGAACCAGGCGTCTGTCCACCTTCCTCCGCAGGCTGAGAAGCACCGCGAGGCGGCGCAGGCTGAGAAGCACCGCGAGGCGGCGACACTTCGGACGAGCCTCGCGGAGCAGAGGCTGCGGATGAACGTTGGACATGGGGGTACGGCCAGGGGAACGCCATTGCAATCAAAACTCAGTGGTCTGCAGTGAATGAATGCAGTGGCACGATTGAATGCAGAGGACTGCAGTGTCACTAGCAAGTCCTGAACCAAACACAGCTGTGGCGGAAGGAGTATGAAGCGTCTGGCTATTCAAAATGTGGCCCGGGAATGGAGTTCTGGGAACTCGAAGACCAGGAAGTGGACTAGAGTTGGCTCCGGGCATCCAAAATGTGGCCCGGGAATGGAGTTCTGGGAAATGGAAGAGCACGAAGTGGCTTACAGTTGGCTCCGGGCATCCAAAATGTGGCCCGGGAATGGAGTTCTGGGAAATGGAAGAGCACGAAGTGGCCTACAGTTGGATCCGGCCCCCCAGAATGTGGCCCGGGAATGGAGTTCTGGGAAATAGAAGAGCACGAAGTGGCCTACAGTTGCATCCGGCCCCCCAGAATGTGGCCTGGGAATGGAGTTCTGGGAAGGCGAAGAGCACGAAGTGTGTGACTGTTGGTGAAAAACGAGCCCGGCTCACTGCCGCCCGGCAACTCCCAACACCTGCCCGGACCCCCCTGTGGAGTGATCTGCTGCTCTCTTTTGATCCCACTAGAAACCTATCAGTCTTCGCTGTTAGGTAAAAACACACACACACCACCTCTTGGGACACCTCTCGCATCGTACTTCACGCCTCCGGGGACACGCGGCGTGCGCGAGAGGCCTCAGATAACAGCGTCCCTGGGTGCCGCGGGGGGGCCGGGACGAATGTTTGGCAAGCCCTCCCGATGAAGAGGTGCCCCATGAGGTGCGGGATTGTTTTTTACTCACAGGTGGACTCTCCCTCCTCTCTTGGAACCGTCTTGGGGCTCCTTTGGAGCTTTCTTGGGGCCCTCTTGGGGCCATCTTGGGGCCCCAAGAGGGGCCCACAACCTGTCACGAAGACGGCCCCTTTTCGTGACAAGTTGCTCGGCCTTTTTCAAACCCTCGTGGGGCCCTCTTGGGGCAGTCGTGGGTCCTCCTGAGGGGGTCCTATGGGGGCTGAGGGCCCCATGAGAGCTCTAGCCGACTTGCCCCCGCGTCTGGAGCTCTGGGGGGCTCACTTGGGGCCCTCTTGGGGACCTCTGGAACAGTCTTGGGGCCCCCTTGGAGCTTTCTTGGGGCCCTCTTGGGGCCATCTTGGGCTGGAAGGGGCTGGCCGACAAACCTTTCAGACCGAGCCGCTAACGGCCCGGAACGCTTTTTCTGGGATTACTCCCGCACGGCGCGTGTTCCAGGAAGCGCGGGGTATGGTTTCCCATACAGGTTACACTCCCCTCCTCGACCTCCTCCTCGTTGCCCACGGTTCCCTCTGCACAGTGGTTGCCGTCGTTTGCCAGTCACGTCGCTCCACCCACCTCTCGGGTTACTGCCGATGCTACCATATCCGATGCTGCTGCAAACGATGCTCTCGGCGCCGACAGGATCATCGAGCACCCAGCTCGCCCTGAAGTACCACGCAGCAGCATGCGCCCTCCCAATACATTCTAGTGGACGGTAGTCCACAGGTCAGCCTTAGTCAGCTACAACGCTGGGATCAGCGCGTGCGAAAAGGGCGAGCAGTGGCAGCCGGCGCTGGCGCTGCTGAGCGAGATGCGGGAGGCGAAGTTGGAGCCAGACGTCATCCATACTACAATACCGGGCATTTGCGGGTGCGAGAAGGGCGAGCGATGGTCACCCGCGGCGGCGCCCCGGGGCCCCGCCCGTGGGGTGACGCCGCCCAGGCCTGGGACAGCCCCGGGACGGCCCATGAGGGCCCCGACGCGGAGGCCTCGAGAGTCTCCCGGGAGCTCCCAGCGAGCCCGAGAGGGCCCCAGGACGGGCTCGGAGGGCCCCCGCGAGCTTCCACGGAGCTCCCAGGGGACCCCCACGAGGGCCCCGAGGCCGCAAAACTATTCATATTCTCTATGGTTTTTGACGTTTTCGGTGGTGCTCCTCCCGCCCGCCCCAAGACGCCCACCACGGCACCGCGGGCGTCCGAAATCGGGCCCATGCTGCCCGGGGGGCCTCCAAGAGAGTCCCCAAGACGGCCCCAGAGGCCCCCGATCGAGCTCCTGGGGCCCCCAAGACGGCCCAAGAACCCCCCCCAGACGGCCCCAAGGGACGCCCAAGAGGGTCCAGTTCGGAGCGCTTCCCACCCCTCCTGGCCCCTCCACGGCCAGCAAGGCTCCAAGACGCCCCCGAGAGGCCCCCAGAAGGCCCAGGAGGCGCTCCCAAGAGGATGGGGAGCGCGCGTTTGGCATGGAGAAAACCGTACCCCACACCTCTTGGGACACGCTCCGTGCGGGAGGGGTCCACGGAAAGGGGGCCTGGGACATCTGCGGGTGGTCCAAGCAGGGCTTTTTTGCATCCCCTTTCAGGCGATGTGTGTCCCATCAGGTGTGGGGTGTGGTTTTTTCCAATCAGGTGCGATGCTCTGGAGCAGGATGGCCCAGGGCACGCTGGCTGCGCAAGGGTGGATGGGCCGACGTGTCCTGAGGAACCCGCGAAGGGGGCACGCTCTTGGGGTGGAGGCGGAGGGGGGAAGGGGCGGTCATGTCTGAGAGGTCCTGGAGGGGCGTTTCGGGAAGAAGTGGCGCCAGTGTGCCCAGATGCCTCCGTAGGGTGAGAGCCGATGGACGTGGTCGGGAGACTGCTGCGCGGCGTGTATGTATGATCCAGGGTCGAGGGCCCACGGCCCCCCCCCCCCAGATGGTATGGTCCCAGGATTCCTCGGGCCCCCCCCCCCCAGATGGTATGGTCCCAGAGACGACGACGACGACGACGACGACGACGACGACGACGACGACGACGACGACGACGACGACGACGGCGACGACGACGACGACGACGCGACGACGGCGACGACGACGACGACGACGACCACGACGACGACAACGACGGCTGCGGCGGCGACGACGCCGGCGGCGGCGGCGACGACGACGATGACGACGATGACGACGGCGACGACGACGATGACGACGACGACGACGATGACGACGACGACGACGAGGACGACGAGGACGACGAGGACGACGAGGACGACGACGACGACGACGACGACGACGACGACCTCTGAACCACCACAGCACCACACCACATCCACAGGGGGGGGGAGGGGGGCACCGCAGTGCAACACCACGCCACGCCCACCTCTGAACCACCACAGCACCACACCACATCCACAGGGGGGGGGGGGAACCGCAGCGCAGCACCACGCCACGCCCACAGGGGGGGGCGGGGGGGACCATCGCGCGGGGGGGGGGGGCCCAATGGCATCAGCATTGGGGGGGGGGGGGGGCCAAACCCTGGACCATGTATGCCCGGCTGGGGCATGGCGCCTTCGGGGAGCCTTTGGAACGCGTGCTGGGGACTGAACGGGTCTCGCACGGCGTACTGATGTTTTAAGCTGCGAGGGAGCGGTGGAAGTTCCGCGCGCATCAGAGCTACGGGAACACAAGAGCACAAGTCGGATGCCTGCACTCTTGGCTCAGGCTGCGCTGTGCGAGTGCATGGGCGTACATGTCGCCAGACGCATGCCCTGCAAGGGCGCGGTCTGGAGCACTCCTTGCGGCGACAGCGACGACAACGACGACGACGACGACGACGACGACGACGACGACGACGACGACGACGACGACGTCTATGACGACAGCGACGACGACGACGACGCCAACGACGACGACGACGACGACGACGACGACGACGACGACGACGACGACGACCACGACGACCACGACGACGACGACCACGACGACGACAACGACGACGGCGAGGACGAGGACGAGGACGAGGAGGACGAGGACGAGAAGGCCCCTGGGAGGCCCCCGGAGGTCCGCGTTGCTTCTGTTGTTGCTGTTGCTGCTGCTGCAGCTGTTGCTGCTGCTACTGCCGATGGTGCTGGATCTGCTGCTGCTGCTGCTGCTGCTGCTGCTGCTGCTGCTGCTGCTGCTGCTGCTGCTGCTGCTGCTGCTGCTGCTGCTGCTGCTGCTGCTGCTAGCGCTGCTCCAGACGCCGTCAGGATCATCAAGCAAACAGCGCACCCTGAAGCAATAAGCAGCAACGAGCGTACGCTCAATCCTCTGGCATTCGTGGAAAGTACTCCACGGGTCAGCCCTAGTTAGCTACAACGCTGGGATCAGCGCTTGCGAGAAGGGCGGGCAGTGGCAGTGGGCCCTGGTGCTGCTGAGCGAGGTGTGGGAGGCGAAGCTGGAGCCCAGCGGCATCTCCCCTACATGGCGAGCAGAAGCGCGTGCCAGAAGGGCAGGCGGTCCAGTTGCTAAAATCGCCCCTTTACGGCCCCACCACGTGGTCGAATCGCCCACGAGGGCCCAACAGGCGCCCCAGAGGGTTTGCACGATGGTCTAAGAGCGCTCCAAGACGGCTTCACTTGTTCCCGAGACGGGCCTCGAGGCCCCAAAGATCTCAGAAGGTGGCTCCAAGACGGTCCAAGAGGCCACAAAGACGCTCCGAGAGGGCCCCGAGAGGACGCCAAAGAGGCAAACATCGCATTCCGATGGGAAAACGTACATGTTCAGCGTATCCGCTTCGTGTGCTGTTACACGGTCCAGGACAGGCCAAGAGGCCCCCCCAACCCCCCCCAGACGACCAAGCTGCCCCCAAGAGGGCTCCAAGACGGTCCAAGAGGGCCCAAAGACGGCCCAGGGGGGCCCTCAAACGGCCGGAGAAGGCCCCAAGACGGCTGCAAGAGGGCTCCAAGAGGGCCCGAAGAGGCTCCCAAGAGGGCCCCAGGAAGCCCTCCAGAGAGCCACAAGACGGTCCAAGGCCTCCAAGACGCCCCGTGACGGCCCAAACGGGCTCCAAGACGTCCCAAAATGGCCCCAGAATGGCCCAAAAGGGCAATTGAAGGGCCCCAAAAAGTCCCCCACAAGGACCACTGAGAAGGCGCACAGACGCCAAATAAAAGAGCGATCGGTACAGCAACAAGCTCTTCAATCCAAGGCTCCCAAGAGCGAACGGTGACACAACAAGCTCTTCAACCCGAGGCTCCCGAGAGCGAGCCGCAACGTCAAAAATTATGAAAGCCACAAATTCCAATAACGAACGGTGACGCAACCAGCTCTTTACAACAAGGCTCTCAAGAGCGAAGAGCGCCATGAGCCATCTCGGGCAAGTTCCTGAAGCAGCCTTTCCGTTTCCGTACTTGCGCGGGTCTTCCCGCTTGCCATGGATTCTCGCCCATTCACGGCCCAAAGAGGAACACAGGGCTCATCCATGGCTGCAAGACCGCTCCAGACCGACCCAGGACGGCCGAACAGGCCCCCGAGACAGCCGATGAGGAGCCCAAGAGGGCTCCAAGAGCGGACCAAGACGGCCAAAGACGGCCCCAAGACAGCCCGAGAGTCGCCCAACGTCGTCGGCCTTACGGCGTCGAGAGAGGCCCAAATCCAGTCCCAAGAGACCCTCGAGAAGCCGCAAGACACCCCCAAACCGCAGATGTGGCCATCAGCAGCACCCTTCAGCCACAAGCAGCAACGACACGCAGCTGCGGCGAGCGTCGACCCAGAATTTCTTGGACACGACGCCCGTGACCACTGGGCGTTCTCGCTTATCAGTGAGATATGGAAATCGAGGATGGGGCCCAACCTTATCGAATGCGCCTGGCGGCACAACCGATTTCCCGCGCAAACGGACGTAGTCCACAGGTCAGCGCGAGTCTCTCTTTCAATACCGGGAACAGTGCGTGCGAGAAGGGTTTCTGGACAGAGTGTTTTCCGGCGGCTCCGAGCCGCTGAAGAGGGCGCCCCGGCAGCCCCACGACGGTTCCGAGACATTCCAGAGGCCGCCCCGACGGCCCACAGACAGCTCCGAACCGTTCAAGAGGGCGCCCCCACGACCCCAAGACAGGTTGGAGCCGCTCCAGAGGCCACCCCGAAGGCCCCAGAGGCTCTTCGAGCCGCTCAAGAGGCTGCTCCGACGGCCCCAAGAGCCCCCAGGGAAGGCCAGGAGCCTCCGAAGACGGCCCTCGAGGATTCCCCAGGTCAGCCCCGAGACGCACAAATCGTAATTCCATTTCGGGGAACTCACATGTTTGGCATTCTCGTGGTTTTCGTTTCCGACACGTCTACAATGGCCACAGACCCCCCCACGGTCGTCCTAAGATGCCCCTTATCAGGGCTCAAAGACGGGCCAAGTACGGCCGAAGAAGCGCCTACGACTGCCCAAGAGGCACCCAAGACAGCCCCAAAGACGGCCCCAGACGGCCCAAGACGGCCCGAACACGGCCCAACAGGCGCCCAAGACGGTCCACGACGGCCCCAAGACGCCAAGACAGCCCCAAGGCCCACCCAAGACGGTCCAAGACGGCCCCCAGACGGCCCAAGAGGCGCCCAAGATGGTCAAAGACGGTTCCGAAACGGCCCAAATGGCACCGACGAGAGCCCAAGAGGGCCCCAAGAGGTCCCCTCGAGGCCGAAAAGAAGCCCCAAGAGGCCCCCGCACGGCCCCCAAGAGGCCCTAAGTGGCTACAGAATTCCCTCCAACAGAGGGGTGGCGGACGAGAGGTGAGAGGCAGAACGCAGGCCCAAGCAGCCGTTTTCGATGCTCCGAGGGTCTACGCTTGACGATCCAAGATCCAGGGCATGCAGGATCGAGGCAAGAAGGCGGAAGAGGAGGAGAAGGAGGAGGAGGAAGAGGAGGAGGAGGCGGAGGCGGAGGCGGAGGAGCCGAAGGACGAGGAGGAGGAGGAGGAGGAGGAAACCCGAGAAGGCCCAGAAGCGCGCCTCATGAGGGTCCAGATGACCTGCGGAGCTCTGAGCGTGGCCCCAAGAGGAGCCCAGACGGCCCGAGAGGGTCGCAGAAGGCCCCGAAGAGGCCCACAGGAGGACCCGAGAGGCCCTCAACCCCCCGGAAGGCCCAACGAGGTTTCAAAACTAGCTCCAAGAGAGGGGGCCCGGCGCTCCCGACACGCCCGAGAGAGCCTTGTTTTCAACAGAACTCCAACAAAACGGCCTCCCCAACGCACACGTTGTTCATGTCTAATTGTTCGAAGGTTCTTTGATTTTTGGGGGGCCAAGATCCTTCCATTTCTAATTGTTCTATCCTGGGCCTCTTCCTGGCCACTAGGGGGCCAGGAACAATCAGAAACGAGCACAATTAGAAATGAGCACGATTAGGACTGAACGACGTGTAGCGGAGCACGTCCGACCCAACAGCGGTTTCTGCTAAGATCTTACTAAATTTCAAACCTTCTTGAAGCTCTCTTGGGCCCTCCCTGGAGATCCTCGCGAGCTTCCCCGGCGCTCTCGGTGGCTTTCCCGAGGGCCTCCCGAGCCCTTCCCCGGGCGCTCCTGAAACGCCTCAGACGGCCTCCGACTTGGACGCACATCCCCGAGAGACTTCAAACTGCCTTCAATAGGAGGGGGGTGAACGAGCCGTGCGCCGGGGCCAAGCTGGTGGAGCGCTGCAAGAGCTCGGACACGAAGGCCCGGTCTCGCTGCCGCCGCCCCAGCCGCCGCCGTGTTTATAGATTTTCGGCACAATCTCCGCCGTCCCGCCGAGAACCATTCCAGAAAGATGTCGTGGACGGAGTCCACGGGTCAGCTCTAGTCAGCTACAGCGCTGGGATCGGCGCGTGCCAGAGAGGCAAGCAATGGCAGAGGGCACTGTCGCTGCTCCGTGAGATGTTGGAGGCGAAGCTGGACCCCAATGTCATCTTTATTACTTGTGCCTGCCAAGAGATGTCCTTTGACGATGTTCTGAGAGCCCAAACTCTGCTCTTAGAAAGTAAAGCCGAGGTCTCCAAACATGACGGTCTTGGCCAGAAATGCTCCAAAGAACGTGTTCTGGAAACCAAGAGGTTCTGAGGACATTCGTTTGTGGGCCTCGTGGCCAGCCAGGACGCTTCGCCACTGCTCGAAGTACACTGCAGGGACCTGTGCGTCCGGGGCTCCCCCGTGAGGCCGGCCCACCCCCACCCCCCCTGGCGGCTGCCTCGCATCGGGGGCTCCTCGAGAGCCCCCTTGCAGCTCGAAGAGGGTGTGCAGGGATGCCACCGAGGTGACCCCAGCAGGCCCAAGATCAGGAGGGGACACCACACACACACACACACCGACTCAAAGAATCGTCGACCCCCAGGGGAGTATGGGAAATACGGGAAGCGGAGGGACGACTGAACTCCAGAACATGTGGAAGAATATAAAGAATCCTGGGAGTTGTGTCTATTTATTTGTGTGTCCATGGTCCCCATTCACAGGAGAGCTGGCCAAACAGTCGGACCGAGGTATAAGATCGAGGTCGGTTCGGGGAGGGCACCCTGATGTTGATCGCGTGTGCTGAATGTTCTTGTGTATCCTGGGGAGGGCACCCATGGATGTTCTGTTTGTTTTGGCCGGCGGAGGGTCTCATGTTCTTGATGGATGTTCTTCTGGCCTAGGTCTGACTGTTCTGTTCCGAATGTCAGAGATTGGCTCCGAGTGCAGCCCGACATTGCCCCAAGAGGTCCCCAGGACGCCCAGGGAGACCTCCTCGGGGACTCCCAGGAGGGCCCGGAGAGGCCAACATCATTGATGCGGCGATGCGTTCGGGAATTCTGGCATGCTCGCCCTCGCAGGCTTCCACTAGGTCGAAACGGCCCAAGAGGCCTCCTGGATGGCCACAAGACGGCACAAGAGACCCTGAGATGGCCCCAGGACCCCAAGACGACCCGAGAGAGCGCCAATACGCCCTTGGCGGGCTCCAGGCGGCCCGCGAGAGCCCCAGAGCTGGTTTCAGACTGGCCCCACGGGGCCCGCAAGGGACTCCGAGAGGCCCCCCCCCGAGGCTCTCCCACAGGTCCGCGAGGCCCCAGGGGCGCTTCCCAGACGCTCCTCCCCGGAAGCACTCCCCTCGAGAGATCCGAGGGCTCCGACGAGATCCCACCAGAGGTCCGTGGGAGCGCCCGCCAGCGGGCCAGGTGCTCCGCGAGGGGCCTCCACGCTGGCCCAGCCTGCCTGTGGCCCCCCGCGCACGCAGCACGGCGCGGCCAACACCAGGCCGCACCGACGGGAAACAAGCGGCACGCGTGCCGCGGCTCCTGCGCATCGGAAGAGGGGGGGGGGAGCGAGGAGGGGGAAGGGACAAGAGGCGGATGGGGGGGGTCCTTGGGTGGGTCGGGTCGGGGTCCGCTTCCTCCCTGCTGCGTTCCCTTCCCCGCCCTCGTCGGCCCATCCACGGGGTGTATATATGAACGTCATCGCGGCCTCGCCGCGTGAGAGCGCCCTCTTGTCTTGCCTCCTGTCTCCGCGGCCGCCTCTCGTCTTCTCCCCTCCTGCACGCGGGACAGTTCGCAACACCGTGGCCCGGGCTGCCTGGGGTCGAGCGTGCGGACTGCCTCCTTGCCGCGCTGCGTCGCACCAATTGTTGCACTGCCGTCGTGCCGCGCCGATCCCGCGGACCCCGTAACGTCCTTGTGTGGGGCATTCCGATCGCATCCTTTTTGTTTATGTAAAGTCGGAGCGCTGAAGAAGGAACCCTTTTCGCTGGGGAGGGGCTCGGCGTCCCTCGATGATTTTGCTGCTTTCCTGAGGTTTCCCATGGGACATCGAAGCTTCTTGGGTCACCGAGAGAGACTCCCAGACGAGGGGTGCCAGGACGCCCGGGGCGTTTGCCCGGGGCAGCCCCGGACGGCTCCGAGAGGGCCTGAGGTGGTTCTGGATTGCCAGGAGTGGTCCCAGAGGGAGGGCAGGAGAGGCCCAAGAGTCCAGGCAGGAGTGGTCCAAAGTGAGGGCAGGAGTGGTCCAAAGTGAGGGCAGCGAGGGTGCCTTTGTAGCGTCAGGAGTGGTCCAAAGGGAGGACAGGAGAGGCCCGAGATTGCCTCTGGAGGGACCCACATCGACTCCGAGAGCTGTCACTCTGCAGGCTTCTCAAAGGGTGGTTCTGGAGTGCCAAGGAGTGGTTCAAAGGGAGGGCAGGAGGGGCCCAAGATTGCCGCTGGAGGGACCCACAACCAACGGCTCTGAGAGCTGTCACTCTGAAGGCTGCTCAAAGGCGTGGGTCAGACAGCTCGTCTGGACCCCCTGGGCGCTTGCCCAGGGGCCCCCACGGATCTGGCTGGACGGCTCTGGAGTGTCCCAGGTGGCTACCAGGGAAGCCAAGAGGTGTTACCTTGAAGGCTGCTCAGAGTGACCGATCAGACAGCCCTCTTGGGCCCGCCGGGGGCTTGCTTACGCGTGCGACGCCCAAGCACAGCCCGCAAGCGCCCACAGCATAGAAACACACCAGTCTATATTCTAATGCCGGGGGGCCGAGCGTGCCAGAACGCCGCAGGATCCACGGGGGCAGAATCGCCCCAGGCTGGCCCCTTGGCCGCCCCGGGCAGCACAGATAGGCTCGAAGACACGCCAAGAGAGCCCAAAGAGGCCCAAGCCAGCCCGACGGGTCTCCAGGGTGCTCCGTGAGACCTCCCGGGAAGCTTCTCCAGGGGGCCCCGAGCAGGAAAAAGCGTTGATTTCTATTGTTGTTTCCGGGTGTTTGCCGTGCTCGCCTTCTCGGCTTCCACACGATCCACGACGGCCCAAGACGTTCCCAAGACGCCTCCAAGACGGCCGAAGAGGCCCCCAAGAGAGTCCCAAGACGGGCCCAGAGGGCCTCCAAGTCGGCTCAACAGGCCCCCAGATGGGCCCCAGACGCTCAAGATTGGCCCAAGATTGGCCCAAGCCGGCCCGAGCGGTCTCCAAGGTGCTCCGAGAGACCTCCTGGGAAGCTTCCCCAGAGGACCCCGAGCAGGACAAAACATTGATTTTCATGCCTTTTTTGCTGGTTGTTTCCGGTGCTCGCCTTCTCGGCTTCCACACGATCCACCGCCGCCCAAGACGTTCACAAGATTGCTCCCACACGGCCGAAAAGGGACCCACAGAGAGCCCCAAGACAGGCCCAGAGGGCCCCAAGTCGGCTCAACAGGCCCCCAGATGTGCCACAGACGCTCGAGATTGGCCCGACATTGGCCCAAGCCAGCCCGACAGGTCTCCAAGGTTCTCCATGAGACCTCCCCAGAAGCCTCCCCAGAGGGCCCCGAGCAGGACAAATCCTAGATTGTCATTGCTTTTTGCACGGTTTTTGCCACGCTCGCCTGGTCGGCTTCCACACGATCCACCGCCGCCCAAGGCGTTCCCAAGACGGCTCCAAGGTCCAAGACGGCCGACGAAGCCCCTGAGAGAGCCCAAAGACGACCCCGCAGGGCCCCATGACGGCCCCAGAGGCGGCCAAGAGGACTCCAGACGGCCCCAACACAGCCCCACAGGCACCCAATCCTGCCCCAGACGAAGCCCAGACGGCACGAGAGGCACCCAAGACAGCCCCAAGACGAGCCCAGAGGGCTCCATGACGGCCCCACAGGCGGCCAAGACGGTTTCAAGAGAGGCCCAACAGAGCCAGGAAGCCCCAAGAAGCCTCCAGGACGCCCCAAAAAGCCTCCGACGGGCTCTGGCAGACCCCCAAGGGGCGCCCAAGAGATCCCAACAGGTCCCCGAACGGCTCCCAGGAGCCACTACGAGCCTTCCGACAGAGGTGCTCATCAGAGGCGAAAGGCCACTCTCAGACCCAAAGGGACCGTCTTGGACGACACTGCGAGGGCCTCGGATGTTTGTTTTCTCCGCAGCTTCGTCGTCGCCTCGATGGCCGATTTTGAGGCCATGTGAGGACGTCCACTGCCCCCCACGCTCAACCCCGGGCGTGCCGGAGGCATTCTGCCACATAGGGGCCTTCCGTGGCAGAATGATGGGCCCGCGCCCGGCGGCGAGCTCGGTGCCTCTGGGTCGCTTTGGGGGCTCTCCTGAAGCTCTCCTTGCCCGATATGCTGTGCTGTTCTGTTCCCCCAAGGGCCTTGGCAAAATTTTCGAGCCAACCAGACTGGACCCCTGGGACAGCAGCCAATTTATATGACCCAGGGGCCTCGCCACGACGACTCCAAGACGGCACCGAAACGCCCCAGAGGCCACCCCGACGGCCCCAGGGCCACTCTGAGCCGCTCAAGAAGCCGCTCCGACGGCCCCAAGGGCCCCCAGGACAGGCCAGGAACCTCCGAAGACGGCCCTCGAGGATTCCAGCGAAGTCGAGTCGCTCCCCTGCACTCTGCACTGCCAGGGCTCGATGCTGGGTGGCGTTGCGTCCGTTTTCGGCCTCCCGAGGGGCGCCACGACGCGTTACCACTTCCGCCACCAGCAGAACCCCTGGAAGCCGAGAAGCGACAATCTGCTGCAGGGGCGCGTCCCCAGGCTGTGATAATGCAGTGCCTCTCCAGACCTGCGAGCCGCTGCCCCCGACCCAGGCCGGAGGAAAGAAGCGGGGAGAAACAGCGTGGCCTCGCCGCGTTGGCGGCGCCGTGGGCGGCGGAAGCACGATAGACCAGCGCGCCCAGCAAGAAGGGGAGGCGCGGGAGGAGGAGGAGGAGGAGGAGGAGGAGGAGGAGGAGGAGGAGGAGGAGGAGGGGAAAAAAGGGGAACAGCAAAAATGAGACCGCTCCGAGGATGGGCTGGGATCCCCCGGGCAGCGCGCGCCACAGCGTCATGCGCGCGAGCGTGAACGGGCACTCGCCGGAGGAGGAGGAGGAGGAGGAGGAGGAGGAGGAGGAGGAGGAGGAGGAGGAGGAGGAGGAGGAGGAGGAGAGAGGGAAATAAAGAAAGACAGAAACTCGCATCCTGAAAATCAGCCGCGCGACCGCCAGCCCGCTAGGGCGCGTTGGCCGCTGCGTGGCTCACCCCAAGTCTTCGTCGACGTGCCGCTGCACAGCGACAACTGCTGCCCGCCATTCTGCCCTGCCCCTGTGCACCCGGGCCCGCCGCGCGGGCCTCGTAGCGCAGCCCCTGGCCAGCAAGACGGCAACTCGTTGCAGCATCTCGCGCCGCACTGCGGCTGGCTCCAGCCCCTCCTTTTGCGCCACTGCCGCCGCGACCGCCCGGAAGGCCGCGCCCGCGCCCTTGCTCATGCCACCCTGCTGCTCGAAGACCACTGGCCGGAGAGCCAGCCCCTGGGCGCGGCAGCGCTCCTCCGTCTGTTTGCGCCTGCGCTTGTCCTGGTCGTACGTCTCGGATGGGAGACCTGGCGCCAAGGCAGTGTCGGCCCAGCGGCCTGGCCCCAGGGCATTTTGACCACGGCGAAGTCAAAGCAAACTCGCTCCGCGCGCACTGCCCGGCTGCCGTCTGGGAGTGCCGTGGCGAGGGCGAGGTTTGGTGGTCCCCAAACGTGGTGGTGAGAACACCCGGTGGTGAGTTTTGGGCGATTTGGGTAATGGTTTTCGAGCGCTGGCTGGCCGAGGAAACGCAAAACCTCGTGGCGACCGCGTGTCCCCAAACCCGGTGGTGACCCCCCGAATTATTTCTTTGGGGAATCGGGGTCACCACCGGGTGTCTCACCACCTGGTTTGGAGACCACCAAGAGGTGCGGGATGACAGAGACATCGGCAGGCCTGCGCTCGTCGGGTTCCTGGGGGTCCTCCTGGAGCAGCCCTCTCGCCTCTGACACTGGGCGCAGGCCGCCTCTGTGGCAGATAGTCCTCGAAGACGCCCCGGACGCTGTTCTGGGTGCCGGTCGTCTCGCCGCCGCCCATGCAAGACAGGCAGTGGGTCTCCTCCTCCTCTTCCTCCTCCTCCTCCTCCTCCTCCTCCTCCTCCTCCTCCTCCTCCTCCTCCTCCTCCTCTCCTCCTCTCTCCTCCTCCCTCCTCTCCTCCTCATCCCTCTCTCCTTACCCTCCATCCTATCCTCCCTCCTCCTCCTCCTCCTCCTCCTCCTCCTCCTCCTCCTCCTCCTCCTCCTCCTCCTCCTCCTCCTCCTGGCAGTGGGTCCCCTTAGCATCCATCGGCATCGCGCACATTGGGCACACCAGCCCCTCCTCCAAGACCTCGGCACCAAGCCGGAGCGCGACGTTGTTGGCGAACTGGCTCGGGGAGAATTGCATGTCAAGTGTTTTGGATGGAGCTGGTCGGTACCAGGCGTCCGCTCCCTCGGCCAGAGCACGCGTTGAGTCGCACCCCGTCAGCTGGCGGCTGGCGGGCCCTCTTCACGCCACTTGGCCGCCGCCCTGTCGCGGAGCGCCTTGCCCAACCGGGACTGCGCCAGCTGCTTCCGCGAATCCACCGTCGCGGCGCCAGCACCGGCCGCGGCAATGATCCGGGCCATCGCGTCGGCCAGCGGCTTGCCAGCGACTGCGTCGCCCCACCGGTGCCCCGGGCGGATCTGCTCACACAGGTCGCGCGTCGAAGCGCGGGAGCCCACGTGGGCCGCGCCCACCTCAGCCGAGATCTCTCGCAACCCCGAGCCGCCGACTGTGAACGAGGCTTACCCCCGTTGTCGCTCGCTCCACTGCTGGCCTACTGCCGCGGCGGCCGCGTCGAGAAGAACGCTCTCGTCGCGCGCGCGGCCCGCGCCCCCGAAGTGCTGGGCTGGCGTCGCGCGCGCTAGGTAGTTCATCCGGCCCGCGTTCACCGAGTGAGCCAGCAGGTAGTGAGTGACCTGTGGGTTCTGGAGCTCGGCGAGGAAGCGGGTGGCATCCTGTTGCTTCTCGACTTGCTTTGCGCAGAACGCCTTGCAGAACATCTCGTCGCCGACTGGGGCCTTCAGCACCTCGCAGATGCCCCCGGCGAACACTTCGCAGCCGCGCGCCACGAAAGGGGCGAGGTCGACCGTGCAGCGCGCGCCCGACGCTGGCACCAGCTGCAGGGTCGAGAAGCGGAGGCCGGCTGGCGCCATCACTGTCTCGAGGTGCGCGAGGGCGCGGAGGACCTCTGCGGAGGGCCCTGCGAGGAGAGAATCGCCCGCGAAGCTGGGGGCCATGCCCAAGGAAGCGGGGGGCGACAATACCGGGGGCCGCACCGCCGCGCCCTCAGGGACGGGCACCAGGCCCAGAGAGTCGCTCAAGATGCGCTGGACCACTGCCTGGCGGGCGTCAACGAGCGGGCATCCTTGCTGCCCCCCTGCCGCGCCATCGATGACCCTACCCCTGTAGAAGACCATCGTCGGCGTGTCCGCGGGGTTGATGCACTCCGACCATCGCGCCAATCCTGGGGCCACCTCGCGCATTCTCGTCAGGAAAGTGCGTCTGTCGACCTCGTCGCGCGCGTTCGCCTGGTCAGCGTTCAAGAGGGCCCGGCCTGCGTCGCCGCGAAGGTCCGCGCGCCACTGCCTCGCCGAGTGCGGCATGGCCTCCACGCCTGCCCGGGCCCCCTCTGCCAGCTGCAGCGGTTGCAGGCGGGCCCGAAGACCATCGACCTCTGTCGCCAGAAGCGCCTTGCCCACCACTCCGCGGATCGCTTCGCCGGAGCACACGGGCCTCGCGCCCTCGGCGCCGTCTTCCGCGAGCTTTCCGAGAGCTGTGCCCCGAGCGCCTCCGAAGCAGGGTCGCAGCTGTGTCGGCGCCCGCCCATCCGCCAGCAAGTTGCCAATGCCGGCCAAGATGGCGCCGCCCATCTCGTCGCCCGTTTCTCCGACCACCTGCTTGTAGGTGTCGGGGCGGTGGCCGGACGGCCCCGGCGCCGTGCCCCTTTCAGAGCTGCGGATGGCCTTGACCACCCCTGCTCGCGTCAGTTCATCTGCGGGCGGCGGGGGGGGAGGTCGCCGGGAGCCGTGCCGGCGCGCCGGCGGCAGCGGAACTTCGACCGCACGGTCGCTTCGGTTTGCCGCGCGTCTGGCGCGAGGCCTTTACTGGAAGCGTGCCGAACAGCTTTTCCAGGAAGGCCGCGCCCAGCAAGGGCGACCACCTTGTTGTCCCTGCTCACGCTGCTTCTCCGCGCCCCCCCCTCCTGCGCCCAGGCCACAGGCGGAGCTCGGCGCCGAGTGAGCTTCAAGACCTGGCCCCAAACTGCCCGGCGCTCTCCCGCCGCCCACCGTTCGGCCACGTTCGCCATTCGGTTCTAGTTTCGCTTCTCCTTGGCCTTGCCCCCAGGGAGGGCTGGGGCCACGGCTTTCCGGAACCCCAGACCCCCGACGTCATGATTTTTTCATGACGTCGACCCCCAGAGATCTCGACCCATTCCCCGGGACCGGCTTTTCATCCTGAGTCGTTTTTTGACGGTCCCGAGGGCCGGCGAGGGCCCCCAGAGGCCGAAAATTAAGAAAAACCTCCCGTCATTATTTTTTCATTACCCGAGGGGGTCTGGGACATCAACCACTCTATCCACGCGCGTCGCGCACGGGCGCGCTGCGGCGCATCGTTCGGAGCGCCCTCGGCGCCCCACGCGCCAGCCAGGGAGTAGGTCAGCACGTTCGCGCCGCACGCGTTCAACTCCCGTTCGACGATGGGCAGCAGGCCTGCCCCAATGACCTCTCGCGTGGAGATCGGCGCCAGCATCACCTCTTCCAGGGAAGGGAGTTCGTCCGTCAAATCCTCCTGGGTCTCAGCCCGCGGAGGCGCCCCTACAGCCGTGAGCTCGCTCGCCAAGCAATTCCTGTGGACACCCGAGTTGCACCGGATGCTGCACGACTTTCCGCAAATTCTGCATGGAACCAGGCCGCGCGCATCCATCCACGGCTGCGGGGGCACACCAGAAAGTGCACCAAGGAGGTGGGCGTCCACGTGGGCTCGGAGGGCCAAACAACGTCGGTCGCCATGGCGGTCGTCTCCCGCCTGCAGCTGCCACGCAACCTGGGACCGGGCAGAAATGCTGCGGCGGCACCGGAGGCGGCGGCGGCGACGCTGCCGCGCGCGCTGCTGCCTCTTGGTCGCCGTCCGCGCCCGCTGGCTCCATGGGCAGGTCGAACGAGAGCGCATTGACTCCTTGCTCAATCTCGCCCTCGGATGCCTCGCGGACTCGCCGACCTCGGGGGCTACGACGTCGCCCTGCCTGTCGCTCCGGCGTGCCCTGCATGTCTCACCCTCGCGGGCCCCTACACCATACTCGAGCGGCCTGGCAGCGAACACACACACGTCATCTGCATTTCCGCCTAAGTGCATGTCCGACGACATCGCGGCCCTCACGCCCGCACCCAGCCCGTCGCGGCTTGGCGGGGAGAGCCCTCTGCGGGATCACCCACCGCCCCGCCGGAGCCCGGGTCAAGCGTGAGGTACAGAAACGTAAGAGGCGGGAGGAATGAGAGGGAATGAGAGGTATGTCGAGGATTCCACAGGACAGCCCCGAGACGCACAAATCGTCCCAGTCCCATCGGGGAACTTATATTTGTCGCATGTTCGTGCTCTTCGTCTCCGACGCGTCGACGAGGGCCACAGAGCCCCCCACGATCGACCCAAGATGCCCCTTATCAGGGCTCCAAGACGAAGACAGCCCCAGAGAAGACAGCCCCCAGAGCCGCCCCAGACGGTCTAAGACGGCCCTAGATCGCCCAAGAGGCGCCCAAGACGGCCTAAGACGGTTCCGAGACGGCCCAGGCGGCACCGACGAGAGCCCAAGAGGGCCTCCAGAGGCCCTCATCGAAGCCGAGGGGCTGACCGCCGTGTGGAAAGCTTTTCGGCAGCATTCCCGCCGCTCCCCCGAGAATGCTCTCGGCCAGATGTCGTGGACGGAGTCCACGGGTCAGCCCTAGTTCAGCTACAATGCAGGGATCAGCGCGTGCGGGAAGGGCAAGCAGTGGCAGCTGGCTCTGTCGCTGCTCAGAGAGAGGCGGGAGACGAAGCTTGAGCCAGACGCCGTCAGCTACAGCGCTGGTATCAGCGCGTGCGAGAAGGGCAAGCGGTGGCACCAGGCTTTGGTGCTGCTCAGCAAGATGCGGGCGGCAAAGCTGAAGCCTGAGGTCATCTCCACCACTCTGCCGCGATCAGCGCGCCAGCGCGCGCGAACGTGCGCGCTGGTGGTCGCGAGCCGGCCCCCCCAGGCCGCTCCGGCCAGGCCCTCGGCGCCGCCATGGTGCCCTCGAGAGCGGCCCCTGCCGGTCCAAGACGGCCCCAGGCGGCCCACGCGCGCTTTGAGACCGCGCAAGATGGCCCCAACACAGCCCAAGAGCCGCCCATGACGCCCTCTGACGACCCCAACCAAGAGTTCCCCCAGGACGGCCTCCAGAGACAGACTTCAAAAGCTTCCATTTGGTTTTCAAAATATGTTCGCGTTCTCGCCTCCTCGGGCCTCAGGCAGCCCACGACGGCCCCAGGGGCCTCCCACACCTCCCCAAGATGGCCCGAGAGGTTCCCAAGATGTCTCCTGGCTTCCCCTGGGCTGCTCTGGCCAGGCCCACGGAGCCGACATGGTGGCTTCCGGAGCGGCCCCAGATGATCCCAGGCGGCCCCAGGCGGCCCAGGTGCGCCTTGAGACCGCGCAAGACGGCTCCGACACAGCCCAAGAGCTTCCCATGACGCCCTCTGACAGCCCCTGAGAGGGCCCCCCAGACGGCCTCGAGAGGCACAAATTGTTGTCGATGTCTCTTCGGTTTTCAGATGATTTTCACGTTATCTTTTTCTTTTCGAGCAGTGGCGAAGGGTCCTGGCTTGTCTATGGGCCCACCAAAGAATGTTCTAAGAACCTTTTTGTGTTCTGCACGATCTGCTCTTAGAACGCTTCTGGCTGAGACCATCTTGTTTTAACACATCGGGGTATGTTCTAAGAACACCGTTGTTGTTATTAGAACATGTTTGGGTTCTTAGAAAATTTCGTGGTAGGCCTATGGGACTGCTGGGACGGTCAGTCCCTGCGCAATTCTCGGGCTGCAGGCAGCCCACGACGGCCCGATGGGCCTCCCAGGGTACCCCAAGAGGGTCCAAAAGAGGCTCCCACAGCAACTTCTGGCTTCCCAGGGCCGCTCCAGCGGGGCCCTCGGAGCCGCAGATGGTGGTCTCTCCGGAGCGGCCCTGGACAGTCCAAGACGTCCCCCACGACGGCCAAGGCGCGCTCTGAGACCGGGAGGAGGAAGAGGAGAGAAGAAAGGCGAGGAGGAGGAAGAGAGAAAGAGGGGGAAAGGAGGAGAGGAGGAGGAGGAGGGGGGGAGGGGGAGGGGAGGGGAGAGGGAGGAGGAGGAGAGAGGGGAGAGGGAGGAGGAGGAGGAGGAGGAGGAGGAGGAGGAGGAGGAGGAGCCCAATCCGAGGCGGAAGTTTACACATGACCACCGCCTGGAGGAAGACTTGTCGGGGACCTCGGCAGGCGGGGAACGTGGACATGCTCGAGCCCCCCAGGGGCCCCACTATACCCAGAGCCACCGCCCGCTGGGGCACCAGGGCGTCGGTTCCCAGGCGGTGGATATGGATAAGTCCCCGCCTCGCACTCGCGATGGAATCCACGCGGCCCACGAGCCTCCCATGACGCCAGGATGGCCTCCCTCCACTCCTCCTCCCCCACTCCTTTCACCACCTCCTCCTCTCCTCCTCCTCCTCCTCCCTCCTCCTCTCTCCTCCTCCTCTCCTCCTCTCCTCCTCCTCCTCCGCCTCCGCCCCCTTCTCCTCCCCCTCCCGCTTCCCCTCCTCCGGTGAAATTCGCAGATCCCCCATGCCGTGCTTCGATGCTCGTCGCGCATCTCGTCTCTGCGGGCTCCACAGCAGCCCACGACGCCCGAGAGGCCTCCCGGGTCGCCCGCACACAGCCCCAGAGGCCCCCAGGAGGGGCCCAGAGGGCCCAGGAGAAGCGCCCCGAATAGCCTCAGACCGCCCCACGACGTCCCCAGGAGAGTCCCAAGAGGACGGCAGGTGGTCGCAAGGGAGGCTAGGAGGGAGGAGAGGAGGAGGAGGAGGAGGAGGAGGAGGAGGAGGAGGAGGGGAGAGGAGGGAGGAGGGAGGAGGAGGGGGAGGAGAGAGGAGGAGGAGGAGGCCCGAGAGAGCCCCAAGAGAGTCCCACCACGGCAATGGGAGCTGTCACATTGAGAGAGCCCCAAGTGGGGCCCACAACGGCCTTGGGAGCTGGCCGACGTGGCGAACCGGAGGCCCTCTTGGGCCCTCTGGGGGCCTGCTTTGTGCTCGTGACGCTTCGCAGGCACAGCCCCCACCCAGACATCCGACGTCTTCATTTTTTCGAGACACGGACGGGCCCATGACCTCCCGACCGCTTCCCCAGGACCGACTTTTCACCCCAAGTCGTTGTTGACAGTCCCGAGGCCCAGCGAGGGCCCCGAGAGGCAAAAAACGACGAAAAAAATCCGCCTCGAGTTTTTCGGGACGCCCGATGTCTGAGCAGGTTCTTCGACCGCGAGGATCCACACCCAAGGTAAGTACGCACTGGTCTATGCTGCAGCTTTCGGAAAACGCGCATGTGGGGCATTATCGTGCTTTTCGTTTCCGACGCGTCCACGACGGCCATAGAGACCCCCAAGATCGCCCTAAGATACCCCCATGAGGGCCCCATGAGGGCCCCAAGATCGCCCTAAGATACCCCCATGACGACCCCAGGACGGCCCAGGACGGCCCAAGACGACCGCCAGACGGTGCCCAGACTGCTCCAGCGACGCCCAAGGCGGACCCAGGCAACCCCCAGACGGCCCCGAGAACGCCTCAGATGGCCTGTAGGCGGCCCAAGAGGCGACCAAAACGCTACAAGTGCTCCACGACGAGCTCCAAGAGAGCCCGAACACTGACAAATCGTCCCATTTCCTGGGGAAAACGTACATGTTGGCAATTCCTGAGCTTGCCCTCTTCACAGCGTCCAAGACGGCCATACAGAGGCCCAAGATGGCCCTAGGACGGCTCCTAAGGCGCCCCTGGCGGCCCACGGGGCACCCAAGACAGCTTCAAGAGCCCCAGGACGGCCTTAGACGACCCCCAGACGGTGCCCAGACTGCTCCAGAGACGTCCAAGACGTCCCCAGACAACCCTCAGACGGCCCCGGACCGCCTCCACACGGCCCAAGAGGCACCCGAGACAGCCCAAGCCCAGGAGGCTTCCAGGAGGCCAAAATGAAACACTGAGAGGCTCCAAAACGACCCCCAGGGGCCCCAAGATCACGGCCCAAGAAGCACTTAAGACAGCACCAACAGCAGCCAAAGACGGCCTAAGACGGCCACAGACGGTCCCAAAACGGCTTCCAGCGCGCCATGGGCCTCTGATGTTTGTTTGGCGCTCCCTGCCGGATTTGGCCTCAAAATCCCGCACCCTTTTTGTCGGTCTGGAGCCCTCTCCGCGGCCTCTTGGGGCCATGCCGAGTTTCGCTCTTCTGGTGGCCCAGAATCGCCTCGGCCGACCCCGGAAGCGCGCGCGGCCGCCAAGGGCGCGTCGGGCGGGATTCTGGGTCGGCGGCGCGGAGGCCCAGAATCGGTCCCGCCGATTCTGGGCGGGCGGCCATTATGGAGCTATCTTGGAGGCGTGTTGGTGATCTTGGGGCCCCTCAGAGGGCCCCCAGACGGCCCCAGAACACCCCGGGAAGGTCGGACCCAACGCACCGACAAAGCACGACCCAATCCCAAGGGAGCCCTTGAGCGCCCCAGTTGGGGCGTCCAGACGCTCCTCCGTCTCCTCGCTCAGCGATGTGTGGCAGGCGAACATGACGCCATTCATCCTGATCGCCTTGCAGCGGCACCCCTTCACCCCGCAAGTGGACATAGTCCACGAGTCAGCCCTAGTCTCTCCTACATGGCCAGTGCATCTGCGTGCGAGAATGGTTCACAGGGCCTCGTACACAAAATCGCCTCGTGTGCCACCACGGGGCCGAATCGCTCAGGCCGGTCCCAGAGGCGCTCCAGAGGGGTTGCCAGACCGTCCAAGAGCGCTCCAAGACGGCCTCAGTGGGTCCCGAGACGGCCCACGAGGGCCCGAAGCCTTCCGCGGCGGGGCTCCACGACGATCCAAGAGGCCGCAAAGACGCCCCAAGAGGGCCCCGAGCGCACGCCAAAGAGGCACAAATCGTTAAATTCCTGCGGGGAAACATAGATTCTCAGCATGCCCGCCTTGTGTGCTCCTCAGCGGCCCAGGACACGCCAAGAGGCCTCCCAAATCGCCCCGAGAAGACGCCAGCGGCCCCTAAGAGGGCTCCAAGACGGCTCCAAGAGAGCTCCGAGGGGGCCCCAAGAGGCTCCCAAGACGGCCTCAGACAGCCTCATGAGAGCTCCAAGACGGTCCAAGGCCTCCCCGACGCCCCGTGACGGCCCAAAATGGCCCCAAAACGTCCCAAAACGCTCCCAGAGCAGCCCAAACAAGCCTCAGAATGGCCCGAACAAGACCCCCACAAGGACCACCAAGCAGGCCCAGAGACGCCCATTAAAAGAGCGATCGGTGAAGTACAAGCTCTTCTCACCAAGGCTCCCAAGAGCGAGACGCAGCGTAGAGAGCTCTCCCAGGCACAGCTCCCAAGAGCGAGCGGTGACGTCGGGACACCCTTCCGACCTCTCACACAGGAGTACGCACGCACAGCACGCAAGCACAATAGATTTCCTGGGCTGTCCCCCGGAAGAGGCTCGGGGGGACAGCCCGGGAACGGCCCCAGAGGCGCCCAAAAAGACTTCAAGAGAAAAGGCCCCCAGGAGGCCGCACGCCAGCCCATGAGGGCCCCAAGAGGCCCCTAGGAGGCCGCAAGACAGCCAACGAGGCCCCAACAGGCCCCCAGGAGCTCGAAAAGAAACCCCGAGAGGCCCACTAACCGTTCCCAAGGAGACGGCAGCGCCCGCCATCAGGCTTCGAAGAGGCAACAGGAAAAAAGTCACCAGAGCCCTCCGGGTGACTTTTTTCAAGGCCCCAGGTGCTTTCAAAATTGACAAGCGGCGAGACGTACACCGCAGACCCACCATAGCCGTCTGTGATGCTCCGAAGGCTGTCTAGGCGGAAGTAGAGCGGAAGGCGGACGAAGAGAAGGAAGCGCTCCAAGAGGGCCTCCGAGACGGCCCAAGACCGCTCGAAGACGCTCCAGACGAGCCGCGGTAAACGAAATCATTGATTCTTCTATGGCTTCTGAAAGGTTTCCACCT